CTAGGACAACTCTGATAGCTGGAGCTTCAATGGGACAGTTCAGCCCTGGAGGGTAAGGTATCCTGACTGCTCAGGAGAGTCAGGCTATCTGCTAAGACAGCTCAGCTCTGGAGGAACAGTTATCCTGACTATTTGGAGTCAGGCAATACCTGGTGTGGTGGGGGATGGTCTCCCCACAGGATATTGCAATCCTGTTCCTCTTCTGGAGAGCCACTACAGCTGAGCTTTGTTCAGCCCCCACTTAAAGGCTCTGCTTCTTCTCCCACCCAAGATATTGCTTCTTTTGCTTCACTATGCTAAAGGAGAAACCCCTGCAGAAACGTAGCAATCTCCTCTGGCTCCGGTGAAAAGTTGTTACTTTTTCTGCTCAACCTTGCTCAGTACCCTAAAGGACAGCTCAGCAAAGTTCTTCTGTTCAGGTCTGCCTTGCTCAGCCCAGGTAGGGGAATGTCTCTGCAAGTTTTGTTTTGTTTTGTTTTGTGTTGTGTTGTGTTTTGTTGTTTTGTTTTGTTTTTTCTGCTCAGTCCACTAAGTGACAACTTAGCAAGGTTTATCTTCTCTGCACCAGCAAATGAAGATCTTTACACCCACAACTCTTTTGAGAAAGAGATTTATTTGCGAAGGAGGAGTCTAGGGGAGTGGCCGCCTCTACCAGGGTGGGAAAGAACAGCCAACAACTGAACAGGCAGGGTGGTTTATATAGGATCTCTTGGGGGTGGAGTTTCTTCAGGGAGATTTTCTGTCCTGAACTTGGTTAGTTGTTTCTGCTCCGAGATTGGTTAGTTTTGTGGGTTAGGGGCAGAAATGGCTCTGATTTCAGAGCCAAACTGTGTTTCTTTTACTGGCCTTTCTTAGCTTTTTGATTCTAATTCTTAGGCCAGGGTATATTTCTTTCACTGGCTCTAATTCTAGGGACAAAGTGTGTTTCTTTGGTACTGGTTTCAGAGTTAGGACATGTTTCTTTTGTTCTGGGCTTGGGGATAAAGTGTTTCTTTCTCTGGTTCTGGGCTCCAGGGTCAGGGTGGGTTTCTTTAGCCAGCCCCTTTTTTCTTACAATGGTAGAACTGTGGGAGGGACAGAGCGGGAGAGCAATGAAAGAGATATCTTGATAGAGGGAGAGATGAGGTTAGGGAGAAACCAGGTGCTGGGGAAATTCTCAGGAATACAAAAGAATGACCCCAGATTAGACTACTAGTAATAGTGGAGCGGTACATGAACTGGCCTATCCCAGTAATCAGATTGGTGAGTACCCTAACTGTCATCATAGAGCCTTCATCCAGTAACTGATGGAAGCAGATGCAGAGATCCGCAGCCAAGCACCAGGCCGAGCTCTGGGAGTACAGTCGAAGAGAGGGAAGAAGTATTATATGAACAAGGGGATGGGTCAAGATCATGATGGGGAAATCTACAGGGACAACTGAACCAAGCTCATAGGAAATCATGAACTTTAGACCGACAGCTGTGGAACCTGCATGGGACTGGACTAGATTCTCTGCATTTGGGAGACAATTGTGTACCTGGGTGTTTGAGGGGCCCCTGGCAGTGGGATCAAGATCTATCCCTGGTGCATGAGCTGGCTTTCTGGAGCCCATTACCTATGGTGAGATGTCTTGCTCAGCCTTGATATAGGGGGTAGGAGCTTGGTCCTGCCTCAACTGAATGTACTGGGCTTTGCTGACTCCCCATGGCAGCTCTTACCCTTTTGGAGGAGGGGATGAGGGCTGGTTGTGGGGAGAAGGGTCAAGGGATCTGTGGTTGGTATGTAAAAATGAATAAAAAAAATTTCTTAAATAAAAAAATATAAAAAAAGAAGCTTGATTGAAAGTAGTGAAAATCTGGTCACTCAGGTATGTATCAGATAGAGTGTGAGTAGGTAAAATGTATTGTGTGCATATGTGGAATGACACTGTTAACCAAGAACAACACACTTGAATAACTTGTACCTAGTATCAGGAACAGCCACAAATGATTCCTTTTTCCATGATAAGATGATGTGGTGGTTTGAAAGAAAATGGCCCCCAAAGGAAGTGGCACTATTACTCTAACAAGGTGTGGCCTTGTTAGAGTAGGTGTGGCCTTGTGGAGGAAGTGTGTCTTCATGGAGGTGGGCTTTGAGGTCTCATATATATGCTCAAGCTAGACTCAGTGTCCTAGTCCACTTTTTGTTGCTCTCTGATCAAGATGTAGCCAGTACCATGTCTGTCTGCATGATGCCATGCTCCATCCCATGATGATAATGGACTGAATCTCTGAACTATAAGTGAGCCACCACAATTAAATATTTTCCTTTATAAGAGTTGCCGTGGTCATGGTTTCTCTTCACAGCAATAGAAAAACCTAACTTAAACAGAAGCTAGTACCAGGGTGTGGGGTACGTTGTAATCAGTCTGACCATGTTTTTATTTGAAGGAATTTGAACTTTGGTACTTTGGGTTAGGAGAGCAGTGGCATGCTTTAAGTACTGCTTAATGGACCATACCAGTAGAAGCATGGAAGACAGTGGTGCTGAGTGTGATTTGATGAACTGTGGGAACACTGCTCAAGAGGTTTCAGAGAAGAATGTTAATATGTGGCCCAGAAACTGGTCTTGTGGTATTTTGGTGAGGAAAGTGGCTGCTTCTCACCCTGTCTGAAAAGTCTGTCTTAGAGTAAAGTGAAGAGTTTTGGATTAATTCTATTGGCAGAAGAAATCTCAAAACAGCCTAATATAGATTCTGTCATGTTGTTATTAGTGTTAACTCTGATGAAGTTCTGTCATGAAATGGAGCAAGCTGAGCAAATAAAAATACAAAATGTACAAACTGAGAAATGGCTCACCCAGAAACGGAATAGAGCTAAATCCTGTGTTCAAGGATATAAACAGATTAAGAAATGGAATAAAGGTAGTGGTGACCTCAGGGCAAGATCCCACCCAGCTAATCAATTTCCAAAAAGCTTAGAGTCAGGTGTGCTGATCCACACTTTCAGTCCCAGATTGGGAGGCAGAGGCTCTCAGATCTCTGAGTTTGAGGCCAGCCTGGTCTACAGAGCAAGTTCAAGAAGAGCCAAGCTTAGGCACTGAAGGGAAACAGGAAGCTGGTGAAGGTGTAACTAAGGGAGGGTGCCATATTCCAGCCCCAGCAAGCAGCTGACTTGGCAGTGTCAACCTCATGGTTCTGAAGTTAAGGATAGAAGGGACTATGGAATTTGTCTCTGTGTCTAAGGAAAGCTTGTGAGGCCAGGCATGTATCAGGGCTGTCCCTAAAAGGAGGTCCAGAGAGGCCATTTCATGAAGTTGTGAAGTTGAAGCCTGGAGTGCATGGAGATTCCAATATGTTGGATGTGCCAGAGACACAGGATACCTGCAGAGAAAGCTGCTCACAGGGATGGAACCAGCCCACAAGAAAGAAGTGGCACTATGAGGAGGTATGGCCTTGTTAGAGGAGGTGTGGCCTTGTGGAGGAAGTGTGTCATTGTGGAGGCAGGCTTTGAGGTTTCACATAAGCTCAAATCACAGTGTTACAGTCTGCTTCCTGGTGACTTCTGATCAAGATGTAGCCATCACCATTTCTGTCTGTATACTGCTCTGCTCTCTGCTTTGATGATAATGGACTGAACTTCTTTTTTTTAAGGAATATAAAACTATTTATTGACCACTGTTCACCATTATTTACAATAAAGTAAATATACAGTTGGATGACATTCTGATACTACAAAGTTACTTTTCTGGCTCAGTGAACCAGAACCCAAATACTGAAAAGATTGATCCTACCAGTAAGGAATGAGTCAAGGTACAGAAAAAGCATGCAAGTCACTAACTTATATTACCAAATTTTGTTCATTTAAGTCAGCGGGTCTGAAATTGCCAACATCATCTCTAACCATGACCCCATTTCCACAGCAAACAGATATTCCACAAATCATAACCTTTTAGTAGATTTCAACTTTCTATAAAGGAATGGTCACTAGAGGAACATTTGCATGCCCATTTAAGTCTTTTTGTTTGGTTTTTAGAAACAGGGATTCTCTGTGTAGCCCTGGCTGATCTAGTCTAAATCAGAGGTCCATCTGCCTTCATTCTGGGATTAAAGGCATGCACCACCACACCCAGCTTAAGTCTTGTTATTAAATCATACTACTACTTGTCTAATTCCATTTTTTGAAGGGGAAGTGTGTAAGGACAAACTTTTGTAAATAAACTACTGTATTTATGTGATAATACATAAATTCTGATGTGGTTGCTTTAAAACTATCCAATAAATTACAGAATCATCTACTTAATCTGAAAGGTTATGGTTTTAGGAAAATGTTCACAATGATGGAATCTCATCAACATGTTTTCATCTACAGTTTTTGAGCATTAAAAAACAAGACAAAATGAAGAACAGTTACGCAAGTGTTTTATGCATATACACGCATACAAACAAAAAACCCAGAATGGTCCTTCTGTGTCCCAGTTAAAAATAAGTTCTGGCCGGGC